CCATATATAGTCTATCCTAGTTTGATATCGAGTACTATGCCAGGTGTTTTGTAAATTGTTGGTATGGTCTGCTAAGTTATACATGTCTATACTATGCAAGTAGTTAAGTAGTTGGAATTTAGTTCCTGATAATGTAGTGGTATTATTGTCTGCATTAAAATCTTCAAGTATGATAGGATATAGGTTGGATGATATTGCTTGTTGTGTCCATGTAGTAATGATGTCTTGTGTAAGTTTGCGGTTGGTGGTATTGGTAGATGAGAGGTATACAGAGATAATTCTAAATTTATAGTCATGTTTAAAAAATAGGTTTATAGTAATAGCACCACCAGGTTGTGTGATTATATTGTGTATATGAGGTTGAATGTTGTTTTTAATCATTATACATGTTTCTTCTTTAGATTCTGTAGAGTTGGACCAGAAGTATGAATAATGAGATGTGTTCTAAAACTTAGTTTTTGTATTTTTAGAAATTTTTGTTTCAGTAAGGCTAATTATATGTAAGTTATGAGTTAAATAGTAATTTTCCTATAGCAACCTTTTTTCTTGTGTATTGTATTCTTGGACATTGTGTGTTGCAATATTAAGTTTAAATAAAATATCTTTGTTGGGAAGGTTGGAAGAGGATTTTAGAGCTAGTTGATAATATTTATAATATTAATGATATGAAAATAAAGTATGATTAGAAAGTAGGTTGTCATTGTAGTTAGTATAAATATGAGTTTCTGTATAAGATAAATTAATAGATATTTTAAATGGTTTGGTAAAGTTGTGGTGTTGTAAATATTAAATAAAAGAGTGTAATGTTTGAGGGTGATAGATTAGTGGTATATTGTTATTATGTAAAAAAAAATTATAACATGCATTAGGGTCAAAGGATTTTGAAGATGTTGTAATTGATCCTGATATGTGGTCTTCTACAAGGATGCTCACCATTTGAAGCTCGGCTCTCACAGCTGCGAAGAGTTCCAAAGTTTGCTCTGTATGTTGAGTCTGACCATCATTTTCTTGGTTCTTTGTGTAAAGCTTATTTTGATAAATCAGTGATGTAATAATAAATAATAAAGAAATTTAAAAAAAAGATTTTGATAAATAATTAAACTTCCAATTGTTATCTTATAAAACTCTATATACATACCTGATAAATATCAATGTGTTACTTTATGAAGCATCATATATGATTGATAAATTAACAGAAAAAAAAAATCCAATAGCGAACTCCAGTAGATTTGGTATATAAGCATTAATTAATCCTATAAAATAAAAAACAATAATAAACATATTCCATATATTGAAAACCCTAATAAGGTTCCTCTAAAGGATATTATATCCACAACAACTACACTAGAAAATAATTCAAAGTTAAGAGAAGGATCAAGAAAATGGAGTTGGATATGGGATCATTTTAAAGATTTACCCACTAACCAAGGGTCTAAAGAATGGTGCAAAGAACTAAAAAAGATGGAAGTCTATGTAATTATGTGGTTGAAACTAATGGTGGCATGGGAAATTTTAGTGATCATCTTCAGAATAAGTATGGAATTATGAAATTTGGAAGACATGAATTATATGTTTCTCAATTAGCAAACAATGAAAAATCCCATCAAATAAAAGATAATGGCATTTATAAAGAACAAGTAAATAAAGCTTTGGTTAAATTCATAGTTACTGATTCTCAGCCATTTTATATGCTAGAAAATCCAGGATTTATAAAATATTCACTAGTGCTTAGTCCATTCTACAAATTGCCTAGTAATAAAGGAATAAAAAATAAAATTTATTTGGCTTATGATTGGATGTCAGAAGTTGTTCGTAGTAAGTTAAAGGAATCAATGAAGTATTGTGGATTGACAACAGATTTGTGGACAGCATACTGTAATTTAGGATTCATTGGAGTCACATGTCATATATTGATCCACAATTTGAAATGCAAGAAACTACTCTGGTAATTCATGAATTAAAACATCTGCATTCTGGTTTTACAATTGCTATTACTTTAAAATCAATTCTTCAAAATTGGAGTATTAATGAAAAATGTTTTATGATAACTACAGACAATGCAAAAAATATGATAAAGGCAATTAATAAAATTGAAGGAGTTAATCAACTTGCATGTAGTACACACACTTTACAACTTGTAGTGAGTAAAGGTCTTTTGCCAATTAAGACATTGGTTGTATAGGCAAGATGATTTATACAATTTTTTATGTCATCCAAACAAAGTGAACAACTTGAATCCATACAAGCATTATTAGATCAAATAGTGTGTAGTAATATTAATAAAAATCATAAGTATTTACAAGCAATCACTGATGTCCCAACAAGGTGAGACTTTACATACTTGGCATGGCTTCGAATTCTTAAATTAAAACCTGCTATTAAAATAATGCAAATAACATTAAATCATAACAATGATCCTCTAATCAAAAAAGATGCACGATGGCTCAAACAAATAATGTTAACACCAAATGAATAGCAGTTAATGGATGATTTAGTTAAAATTTTGCATCCTTTTGCAAATACTACAAAAATGCTTGGTGGAAGCAAATACACTACAATGTCATTTATGTTTACAGCTATATCTTCATTAAAAAAATTGCTTAATATTGATAATAACATTCAAATTACAGTAGATCTTGATAATTCAAATACTGTGTTTGATGATAATTTAGATTTATAAGATGATATCGAATTTATTGATGAGCCAGAAATATTAGATATTGAAATGGAAAAAAAAATAAGCCAAGTTAAAATTAACATTTCACAAAACTGTGAAGAGATGTTAGATCACATTAAGTTAGCATTGCTTAATGCCTTAAATTACTACTAGAATTATCCAACTCATGAATCTCTTTTAGCAACAATTCTTGATTCTCGTAATAAAAAAATGGAGTTCGCTACAGATGATTAAAGATTTGAAGCTAAAACCTATTTAATAGAAAAATATGAAAGATTTCAAAAATCAGAGTTAATGCCACTTAATGCAACACTGATAGATGAAGAAGAAGAAGAAGAAAATGTATTATTAACTACTATGTATACACTTGTTCAATATTCTAAAACAAATGAAGAAATTCAACTTTATCTTGTACTTCCAAAGCTTTCAAATACACAATGTCCACTAAAATGGTGAAGTAGTCAAAAAATACTTTGTCAATATTAAGTGAAATGGTACGCAAATATTTATATATTTCTACTACTTTGACAGCCAGTAAATGCCTTTTTAGTGATGCAGGAAACCTTATAACCATAAAATGTAGTTGTTTAAACATAAACTTATTTGAACGAATGTTGTGCCTTAAAAGAAATGTAAATTACATTGGAACAATGTTTCCTTAAGACTAAAAAATAGGTTTATATTTGATATATAATGTAATATGCATGAAATATGACTCATATAATTGCAAAATATATACTTAAATTAGCAATATATTAAATATTTTAATATTTTAGTTAAATATAAAATATATAAATAAAATGTATATTTATTAAATATTTTAAATATATAAATAAATATTTATTTATGATATTTATTTTGTACAAATTTTCAATAGATTTACTGGATTTATCAGATTTCATCAAATAGTTTATGATCGGATATAAAAATTCAACAGATTGAGCTAACAGATAGTCGAATATCTATGGATCCAAGCACTAATCAACATTATTATCAAAAAGATTTGTAAATAAATTATTAGAAAGTTTATTTTTTTTTTGATTTAGAAAAATTTGTATAATTTTCAAATACTTGAATTAAATTATGTTTATTCATTATAATAAATAAAATATAAATTAAAAAGAAATTATTTTGTGTTGAAACAAGCTTTTAGTTGTTTTTAGAAATAATTAAGATTTTATGTTTGTTTTATTTTGAAATTTAATTTATTATTTATAGATTTTTTTTTTTTTTTACTATTATCAGAATTTATAGTTGTTGATAATGTATTTTCTAATTCTTTGATAATATTTTTATTAATTACTTTTCTTTTTTCAAAAAATTATCCAATGTTTCATCAATTTTGAGTAAATTTTTAACTATATTACTTCTATCTATAATTAATTTAATATTTTGTCTTTTTAAAATTTTAATTCTTTTTGTTAAATATTTATTAATTCTTAATTTTAACAAGTTATTATTAACTTTAAATATTTCTTTTTCTAATTTTGTAATTTCATTATTTTTTTGTCTTAAAAGTTTAAATAATTCATTTTTTTCTTTTTTATTAATATTATCTAATAATTTATTTTGTTGTTTATTAATTTTATTATTTCTCTTTTTACCAATACTTGTAGTATTTGATAAAAATGATATTAACAGTGCTTTATTGTTGTATTTAGCAAAAGAAATAGGTTTTAAATTATTTGATTAAAACATTTTCAAGTTCTAATATTTGATAAGAAATTAATTAACCTATTATTTAAAAATTTATCAATTTATAGTAAGTAATACTAATTAAAAATAAAAAAATTTTTAAATAAATCTGAATATTTTTTAAATTCATTAAGTATTATAAATAATAAATAGATTAATAAAATAATAATTGTTATTCTAAAAAAACTCTTTCTGTAAATCCTTTTACACAAAATAACAAAAAATTCGTCAGTAACAAAATCACTAATACCTGGTTATCTTACTAAGATAACCAACTTTGGTGCCTTAATTAAACTTGTTCAGCTCACATTTTACATATACTCTGAAAGTTATAGGTCTTTAACTTTCAAACTCGCAGTTTAATACTGCTAAAACGGCCTTTGGTCTTTGTAACCAAACTTTTAATTATTTCTCATCTGTTACTCTTTTAACCTACAATACTGTTCTAATAAAAGTTGTAAAGCATCTCCTTCCGATCAAAAAAAGCCTAAAAAGAAGCTTGTAGCCCTAAAACGATGGAATTATAATAAAAAACAACTTCAACTTCTCTATTGTTCTCTAAAAAATTACTTTATCCTTACCTCCAAATTTTTTCCCTTACACATTTTTCATGTAACCTTAAATCATTTCCAAAATTGGTTTCATTTAATATTACATTGTGT